AAGCAGCAAAGAGGATTAGGGGACTGGAGGCTGAAACATACAAAGGAAGGTTGCTGGAATTGGGTATGTCAAGTTTGATGAAAAGGGGGGGGGCATGATATCTAAGGGGTTGCCTTTAGAAACTAGAGGAATGAAGAGAAACGATTCTCCAAAGCACCTGAGGGCAGGACGAGAAGCCATGGATGGAGAGAAGCAACTTAGAACTGAGGAGAAATTTCCTGACAGTTAAGAACAATTAATCAGTGGAACAGCTTGCCTCCAGAAGTTGTGAATGCCCCAACACTCGAAGTCTTTAAGAAGATGTTGGATAGTCATTTGTCTGAAACGGTATAGGGTTTCCTGCCTAAGCAGGGGTTGGACTAGAAGACCTCCAAGTCCCTTCCAACTCTGCTATTGTATTGTATTATTGTATTGTAATGTCAGTTTCATTAAATTAACTTCATTTAAAATGATTCTATCTCATTTTACTAGCATTGTGTTCTCCCATCATATTAAACACCACAGTCCAGCAACAGTTTACAGAGGTTTGGGGACGTGTACCGAAGGCTTGGAGTGAGGTGGGGGATACATATAACCCTGGAGTCTCAGGTCATACAATCATGCTTTATATTTAATGATTAGGAAAGTTGAATAGGAAACCTACCAGTTGCCTAGGTACGAATAGAAAGGATTTATTTTCGACATCGTTATTGTATTTTCTTTCAAGCCATTATATAAACAGAAAGCAATTTTTAGCCAGAGAAAGGTGGCAGAGGTGGTTGCTCCTGGTTTGGCCTGGATGGGGTCAACCAGTAGTGGTGGCGGCGGGAGGCTCCGCCCACCCGCACACGAGCAAACCAGTAGTAAAAAAAATGAAAACCCAATACTGGGTGGAGGGGAGAGGGAAGAAAGAGGAAGCTTTGGTAGATAGATAGGTAGGTAATTTTTTATTAGAGTTTTTGACTGACATGTAAACTCTGACTCTTTTCTGCCGGATTGTTACATTGAACTTTTATCCCTATTTTTGTCAAGGAGACTCTAATATAGGAGACTGTGGGGAGTTCATAAATGAGAGTGAGGCATGACGTTTCCCCCTTCCCCTGCCTGTATCTGATATGCATTTGCCAGAATGTGTTGTAATCAAGTCTTTTTATATGATAGAATGCTACAGATGATGCCATCTATAAAACCATGATAGGAAAATAGCATTAGAAACAATTGGCTCTCTCCAGTATTAGTAATAGGCATAAAAATGGTTTGGCCTCCATGGCTCTTTTCCTCTTATAACATTCCTAAACCTTCTGCCTGAGAATTCCCAGCATCCCTAGCCAAGATGGCCTTCTCTGGGAAGGATGACAAATGCCATTTATTCTGTATGACAGTTTGGAGGGCTTTCCACTGGCATTACAGGATGCAAAACTATTGGGGAATCTCATCCATTTTTCCAGGACTGCAAACTACAGTAATTCCAAATTTAGCAGCAGCCCTCTTGTAGAGGGAAGCTTTTTTTTAAAAAAAAAAAAAATAGGGATGTTGTTGAAATTCCCAAACAGGCTTTTCTTCTCCAAACTATAACAGCAATAATACAAAAGTCTATTTTTATACAAAGTGGTCTACAAACTTGTGCACTGACATTCACCTGCATGTAAGATACACTGACTCCAATGATGTGTAGCATATTAAGAAAAGTACCATACATTCCACTCAATTCCTGGTGAAAAATATGGCAATTTCATTATTTATATTCTGAGGTACATTCTTTAGATCAGGGACTTCATGCTTTTTGGGGGGAGGGGGCATAGAATAACTACATTTGGAGTTGTGCTTTCTTGTATTTTCCACCATAGCTATCGATTGTGAAAATTGATAATATATTTTGAGTTCATCCCTCCCTCTCTTTCTAGTGTACTATAATTTTCATTGCCAAGTTCATCACATTCAACTTTCAGAATAATCTTGCACCAATATAATTTCCTTTTGATGATGTTGGATGATTAGATTTGCCTGCCAGCAATTTTAGTTTTTCTCATACTTTATTTTACTATGAGATTCTAGTTGTTCCACATTTTTATTTATTTGTTTATTAAAGTTAAATGGCTGCTTGTCTTGCAAAACATACCTCTGGGTGCATTCCCTATTCATTTTTCATTCTCATAATCCTGCCTTTGTGACATCAGAAGAGCAACTCTTTGTGACATCACAATGAAGAGATTACTGTGATTGATGGGATGAGGCAGAGACCTGGGAGACAAAGGGGGAGGAAAATTGTTTCTCATCACATTCTTTTTCTGCTTTTACTTTCCTTAAAGACAATGCCTAAAGCAATGAAAATATTCATTCTTTAACTAAGCTGAAGGCAGTATTACAAGATCTTTTTTAGTGATAAAGGCCAAAAGTGGCCCTACTATTAGTTGGAATGAGGAAGTTGTCTAAGGTGATAATGGCTGAAAAGGCAGCAAGCCATTGAAGAGAAAGATGGATACCCTAGTAGCCTTATTTATGCCCTCTAAGGAAAAGTCTGATGCTCTAAAAGAAAATCCTGAATACTCAATACTCAATACAGGGTAATTTACAGCTTTTGCACACGGTTTGAAAAAGATTTCCCTTTTCATCTCACACAAAATAATTTTGGACTAGCCATTCTAGTATGAATCTTCAAACAATTCACTGGTGGGCTTCAAAGATTTTTACTACCAGTTCTTTGGGTGTGGCTTTGTGGGCGTGGCAGGGGATGGATACTGCAAAATCCCCATTCCCACCCCATTTTCAAAATTTCCGCTACTGGTTCTCCAGAACCTGTCAGACCTGGCTGAATATCACCTCTGAAACAATTCAATAGGGGTCTGATTCAGCAATCAACTGCATCTATATTACAAAGTAAATTCAATTATTGTGATGGGATTCTGTCCAAAGGGTAATTGAGCTCTGAATTTTCCCATTTGATCACTCATTTTGATGAGATCTGCACAAGACCATTTGTTAAGTATGTGAAAGATCTCTGGATCGAATCATGCCATTCATAAACAAAGAAATAAAAAAGCTGATTATAATTATTAGAGGAAAGTGTCTTTGTGGATCATTCCCAAACAGCCTTCAAAAGAAAAATCTTTTCACAATCCTTAACAGTATTAAAACATCCTTGGTTACTTGTCTTGTTCAAGATAACATTCTTACTTGTAAAGTAAAACTGAATATCTAAATGTTGCTTTTTCTATTTTTAGGAACTAAAAGTTTTGTATTACATTTTTGTAGCATCGGATTGTCAACCAATTCCAGGGTTTGTAATAAAGAATGGTATATAAATTTTCGGATGAAGATGATTGCGATAACTGACTTTCGGATCAGTTTTGATTCATCGCTCAGTTTAACGCCAGGGGAAAGTAGCACCTGTTGAAGAATCGTGCAATTGTTCCAAAGCTCTTGAGGAGGTGGATAACCAGAGAAGATAATACTGTAGAACCTGGATCCCCGGGTGGGTCTTCCTTTAATTAGAAAAGCGAGCAAAATAGATTTCGAGACTGAAGAACAGGCGGTCCTTCCTTTCTCCTGGATCCGAAGCGGAGGGGACGAAGAAGAGAGAGAGAAATCTGACCGCCAGTTCTGAAATCCATGGATATCATTGCTCTTGAACGTGAAGATCGATAACTGCGCTTCCCCATTGGTAGGCTTCGGTTATGTAAAGGAGGAAGTGGAGAAGTCCCCAAAACATCGCAGCCACCGAAGCAGCAGCAGCAGCAGCAGCAGCAGCGCGCGCACACCCAAAATTTCTACGGGCGGGCGCTTGCAACTTCGGAGCCTCCAGAACTGCTGTCTTTGCGGCGTGCCTGTGTTTGCTGCTGCTGCCGCCGCCGCCGCCGCCGCGACTGCTCTCCCTTCTCCAGTGCGCGCTTGGAGCAGCTCGAGAAGTGAGTGGAGGCGGCGCTGTGCATGCTGGGCTCAGATCATGGTGGGGCTTGGCAATAGGAAGCCAGGCAGGAAGGACTGGAAGTAGCGTGCGGCGGCGAGCGAGCCAACCAGCCAGCGCTAGACCGAGGGCTTGCGGATCGTGTGAGCCGATCGCCTGGCTAGATCGGAGCTGGAGTGAAAGGGGAAGCAAAGTCCCGTAGGCAGAGGCGGGACGGGGCTGCGAGGGAGGCGGAACCGGGGGAGGGGGTCATTGGGAACCGCGCTGTACGCCGCCCCCCTCCTTCGTCTTCGCCTCCCCTTCTGCCGATCTGACTGAAGGAGAAGGGGGGGAAAGGAGAGGGGAAGGGAATCCCCGCTTCTTGCAAAGGGAGGCGCCGATTTGGTTGTCGGTACTGGTGCTCGAAGCAAAGCCGAAACAAGAGGAGCGTATTTGGGCGCCGCCAACACCTCCAGGAACAGCCGCCGCCGCCGCCGCCGCTGCCTCCCCATTGCCGGGAGATGGTGGCATATGAAGCGCGCTGGAAGGACCATGGTTGAAAGGAACAGCAAGTTCCTGCTGATCGTGGCGGGGTCGGTGTGCTTCATGCTCATCCTGTACCAATATGTGGGGCCGGGGCTGAGTCTGGGCTCGCCGAGCGGCCGCTCGTACCAGGATGAGCTGGACCTCTTCCCCACTCCGGACCCGCACTACGTCAAGAAGTACTACTTCCCCGTGCGGGAGTTGGAGCGCCAGCTGGCCTTCGACATGAAGGGGGACGACGTGATCGTCTTCCTGCACATCCAGAAGACGGGCGGCACGACCTTCGGGAGGCACCTGGTGCGCAACATCCAGCTGGAGCAGCCGTGCCAGTGCCGCGCCGGGCAGAAGAAGTGCACCTGCCTGCGGCCGGGCAAGCGCGAGACCTGGCTCTTCTCGCGCTTCTCCACGGGCTGGAGCTGCGGGCTGCACGCCGACTGGACCGAGCTCACCAACTGCGTGCCCGGCGTCTTGGACAAGCGAGAGAGCGCCGCGGTCAAACCTCCCAGGTGAGACGGGAGGGGGAGGCTCCTTCGCACAGTGGTCTCTTTTTCCCCCCTCCACCTTCATCTATTATTTATAGTTCTCCCCACCTCTATGTTTCCTCACTACAACCTTGTTAGGTAGGCTGGAGGAGGCAGTAAAGCTCAAGGTCAGCCAGTGAGCTTCAGCTTCTCTAAGCCTGGGTGTTATGTATGGATGCCCGGAGTTCTCTTTGCTAATCTGACACTCTAACCACTACCTGTACTTCACAAATCACCCAGTGCTAGGAGCTTATTGTTGAATATCTCCAAGCTTGGCAGTTTCCATAGCTGACTTACGCCAACTACTTTGCTCAGCAGGCTGATGGCTGACGGAAAGATACCGTTCTCCATGGGCCAGCTGGCCCCTGACTCTTCAGCCAAATTTGATTCACATTTACTGCACTGTTGTGACTCACTCTCACTGCTGGCTGCTTTTGTCATCAAGCTCAGAATCAATTGTTGAACTGTTTTGCTACTTACCTAGCTCCCCTTTCCATCCATTCTCTCTCTCCTTCCCTCTCTCTCCTTTTCCCTCTGTTTTCAGTATGCAACTTAGTCCTGAGACTTTGTGTTCTGTGCAGTTGGTGCCCCTTTTTTCTCTTCTTGGCCATTTGTGTGTGTGAGAGACACATATTAGGCAGGCCCCTCATTCCTCTTCATGTGCTTGTGGAGGGAGGGAGGGAGGGAGAGAGCGCGAGAGATTGCACCTATGGAATTTTCTGTGTCTCATGCAGCTGCTAAGCCTTTGAAAGGAATGAAGGCAGAAAGAATTATATCAATCCCATATACGTGGCCTGCCTGTCTCTATATTGTGCTCATTGATCCCATAGCTGTCTTTCTTTTCCACTACCTTCTGCTGGAACTCTCCTTTCCTGCTTTATACACTCTAGAACTGGTTTCCCTCATATACTTTGTAGGATTTCCCTGAGATTTTAACTCCTTTTCATTCAGAGCGTTAGTGTGTACCTCTTCAATCTTCCTGTGGCAGAGAGGGCTCCTGAGAATGTGTGGAATGTATGTCCATTACAGTCAGTCTCCATTCACCCAGAATAAGGGGCAGAAGTTCAGGGTCCCATTTAAGAGCTTTCAGAGAAATGGGTGTCTGGAGGTTTGTTTTTTACTTCAGATGTGAAATGCTATCCCTTGTCTACCTCATTTCACACATTTTAACACATTCCCTTCATTTGATTTGGAGTTTCACGCATATGTACGTGAATCTTATTTCTCTAAACCTGGGCCTTTGTCAACAATAAATCTTTCCATTGTTAACCATTGGCAGTGTTAACACTTCTCATTCTCAGAGCTATCCTTATTTTTCTGCATTATAGTGCATATGGAAGAAACACTAAGATTCCTTTATATATTTTATAGACTTTTGTTTTACTTATTTTTTGTAACATTGGCTGCTGTCTTTGTACATGTTTGCTGATTGTAATAGCCCTTTTCTATTATTATCCACTCCTGTAGAGTTAATGAATGCCATGCCTAATTCACAGAAATGCACAGAAATCTTGTTTGTACATAGTTATTTTATACCTGTGCTTTTTAGCAAGTAACTTTTCTCTTAGGTTGTCCTGTTGATTGTTCGTGCATTTACCCTACTTGCCTGCTGAATTTTCCCCATGTCTCTATCCCCCACCCCATTTTCCTTTTAGATGGCATTAATCTTCTTAAGCATCCTTTATTCCCAGAGACATATCTTTTTCTCGTGCCCACATTAATTCCCCAAACACCTTTCATCTTCTCATTATGGTTTCCTTTTACCTGGTTTGCCAAGGTTCTCGAGTATAGATTAAAAAATCCAGCTAAAGTCAATCTTTTGAAAGCATTCCACCCTGATACATTCTAGTCATCCCCAATTCATGCACAAATTGCTTCCATCTACGGTCGCCTAATTTAAAGGATGCATGCATGCATGTATGTATGTATGTATGTATGTAGTATCTTTTAGCCTGCCTTGTGATTTTTCTCTTCCATGTTGGGTTTTCTTTAAATCATCTGAAGTGCTTCTATTTTCTTACTTTCCTTGCTATCTTAGAGTCATGTTTAAAGATTTATTGTTTGATTGGCATCCTACTGTAAGTCATTAATTCCTGCTACTTTTTAAAGCCTTGGTCTCAAACACTGCTCCTCTAGTGCCATACAGGTTTTATGTTTATGTTTTGTGCCCATTGGTGATATCCTCTGTAATCCTTCCAGTGAGTAGGCAGTCTTGGGAGGCCAGAACAAAGCATATTTGTCTTATCTCTACTGCACAGCTCATTTATCCCCCCCTTTCCCCATTTGTTAGACTTGTTTAGCATGGGATGCTGCGTAGAGTTATTAATTATATGTATTGATTCTTCTGTTGTTGCTATCTTTTCAATGCACCTTGGTCAAATTTTGATTAATTGTTCTAATCGCCCTATAATCTGCTTTTATGTAAACTGACTCAGGAATATCATATCAAGAAACTTATCCAAAAGTGTTCTCTGTCTGCAAAGACAAATATATGTGAATACTGGCATACAATGGTCCTCTCCCCCATCCTCTGAATACATTTCTACTTGATAAAACATTGTAAATGAATAATTGTTTCATGTTCTTGGAACTTTTATATTAAACTCCCCCCTCCAAAAAAAACCCTAAACAAACAACTTTAGTTTGCAAATCATCAGTAGAGAAATTAGATTTATGGGCAAATATTGTTGCATGCTTCCCTTATTTAAATGTATACCTAAATCCTGTTCTTACATGGCTTTCCTTTCTTGGAACAATGAAATGCTTGGAAAGCGAATAGCCAAGTTGCAGGTTTTGCAGTAGGTTTGGTGATAATAGTGCCCACAAATTGTTTGCTTTGCCTGTGTAGACTTAAGGACTTTGGAGCTATGTTGTATCTACAATGAAGTTTACAATAGAACTGATTAAATATCTTGTTTTTATAACGACTCTCGGTTTTTCTTTTCTCTGGGATCTAATGCTATTTACTAAGATCATTTTCTAGAGGTCTAATAATAATTAAGTAAGCATGCCTAAGATTGCAGTCCTAAATTAAAGTATTTCCAGATTTACAATTTCCCATGTACACAATCGGATTCTGAGTTTGGCTTATCCTTTTAACCTTTCTCATGATGTCCTACTTTGATTGAAAAAAAGTACTGTATTAAACCATCAATGGCATTATGGAAGTTAGTAATCTTATTGCTCCAAGCCATCCTCAATGAATAAGCATGCTCCTTGCCATTCATTAATTCTGAACTGGATAGTGTTTTGTATATTAAGAATAAACAATAATTGTTGACTGACTTTGTAATATTGCTGTGTCACATAGGCCTATTACACGGTAGTTCATTTTAGCTTGTCCACAAAAAGATAACATTTCTCCTGCCTGTAATGAAACCTGGCTTCATAAGCAAGAGCTGTTTATGTAAAACCACTGATGAAGTAGATTTCCTTTGTAAGGGATTCATTCTTGCATTATATCCACTACAGTGGTGGCTGTATCACTTCATTTTGCCTCTTTGAATAATGTATCTAGGGTAATGGAACAACCTATGTTTTCATGTCTGGCACACATTATAGAGCCTGCTGGGAGCAGGAAAATTCATTGGGTGATAATCTTTTATTGAAACAGCTTCTGCCATTGAAGTATGTGCAGTATTTTGGGATTCCTGGAGCTTTCATCTGGTCAACAGAATTCTGTTGCTGTTGACAATGTTATTTCAAAGAGCAGCAGAAATATTGGTCCGGATGCATTTCACTTAAAGAACTCTTTGCTTGTAGTCCTTAACCAAACATATTGGAAAAAAAGGATAGGATGCAGCAGGTTTAGTAGCACAGGATCCCATATATGACTGCTTAAAGGGACATCAATACTTGAATCTTCTCAAGTACAGCTGCTGCTGTTACCTTTTTGAATTGAGATATCAGTCTTTTCTCTTTCTTAATTTGCTATTCAGTAATGTGGAAAATTGTATTTCTGAAAAGAAAGGACTTGTGTTTCTTTAATGCATCTTCTCAGTGTCTTACAGGTATTCTTGAAGGTCATTCACTAGTGCTCATAAATGCATACAAATCATCAGCTAAAAGATTATTAAACTTGGAAGTAGTGCCATTTTAGCATTGCTAAGTGCATCCTTATTCTACGTTCTGGGAGCTTCTATACACTTTCTGCATCCAGAATGCAACGGCTTTTACAGTTTTCCTACTCCAGGTTGGTCTTGATAATAGCAGTACCTTTTTCACAGAGACACTTGAATTGATTGTCCTCTTTGTTTGTGCCTGTTATAGAGGTATCACACTTACCTAATTGTTTATTTTTAAGTGTTTTGTTTTGGAGAGGAGGAATATTGTTAGACAATTGTAGTTGTTACAGTATGCTAAGAATTATCATTTCTTTACTCTGCAATTTTTTTTTAAAGAAGAACACCTCGACTTGCTGAGAATGAGATTACTCAAAGCACAATTGGTGTTGTTGTACTCTTACAAAGTAGCTGCAGTAATGAGCATGACAATTCACAGAATGCTCATTTACTAGAAATGCAAACTAACCCCCACCTCCCATATTGGCTGTCATTGCAGATTGGTATGTGTATGGGAAGGGTCACTTGCCTTTTTTTCTGGCTGCAGAGCATAGAGCATACTGGGCTGGAACCATCCATCATGTTGAATTTCTGTGGGCCCAATATGTGGTCCAGAGACATGCTCCTAAATAATGAAGACGCTGAAATCTGGTACTCTGCTTTAAGACTCCTGGTATCCTACCTTTGTTTTGCATTGATTTTAATAAAATTAGAATCAAGGTGCATTCCATTGGCATATTGATCCCTATTTGATGTGGAGTATAGGTATGAAAGTTACATAGGCCATTAGGTTTTCCAAGAAATGTCATGCCAACAACCAACATCCATCTAGCATTAGGCTTGAAAAGCCCAAAGCAATATGTCCTTTAAGCCGTGAAAAAGGTGGCGAGAAATGTGAACATGAGAACGGATTGCATTCTTATA